ACAATTCGTACTCGTGGTCTACAATCCACTTTTGTGTCTGCGAAACGTTACTCTAATATGTGAACATATTGTGTAACATTTTATCCGATCATCCAATCAAAATTAAAGCCCGCTATGCTATCGTGCGCGAGATTGTTAAAAAAAATCGGATTTGCCCATCACTAATTGCCCGGGACTTAAAAAGGCTGTGTTAATATATTCCTCTATATTCATCTTAGAATATATTAATTATCAAGATATATTCATTATAGTAAAATATTTACTGAATCTAAGGCTTGAAATAGTGCTTTTTTGCTTTCACCTTTATTGACTTAGCCATGTTAATAAATTTTGTATAAATATTCATCAAATTCGGCCAACTTGCTGCAATAAACTGATTCAAATATTTTCTCTATATATGATTTAAGGCATTATTATGTTTTATCAATCTATTATTAAAATTCGACATCCTGATTATTTATTTGTGATTATTTTATTTATTTTTTTTTTTGTGTGTTATATTTCTTTTTTTTTAATTATAATAGAAACTATATATACGTATATTCTTCGATAAATATCTCTTTTTAAAATGCCCTCTCATGCTTCTCTAATTGCTGTGATAGTTACCAAAGAAGATTCTAATTCACTTACACAAGGCTTTGCCAAATATCAATCTACTAAAGATGAATTCAAAATTGTCCGCTGGAAGTACTTTTACCCTTTTGAAAAAACCTATGCAGAGTTTTCTATAGGTGACATAGTAATGTTTACGGGAAAGTTTATAATTGAAAATTTAGAGCAATTTATTATTGCTTCTCATATTACTGTCATCGCTGCTGGTGACCCGGATCAAGAATTTGAAGCTGATGAAATTCCCCTTAATGTACCTCATTGTATGTTTCTTGTGGTAGCCAAGCGTGACCCGCAGTCAATTAAGGAAACTACTTATTTTGATGCAGAATGTTTTCAGTATAACTCATTTACTAAGACTAAATGAGTCATTATGAAATTGAGAATTCTCTATCCTACACATGCTCCATGCTTTACTTATATGCATTCTAATAATAGTATCAAACCTGGTCGGACATTTCTCATATCAGGGTTTATTCGACGTATAACTTCTGAATCAATTTCAGTAGAAGCTACAGATATTGATTTCATGTATGCTCCTAGTGTTAATGTTGTTCATAATATGCATGATAGCCCTTCAACGACTGTGGGTGCTTTCAAGCGCCTTAATCAATAGATCGGTGTATAAATTTTCATTAATAAAAAATATCTCAGCTGGTCAAAAGTGTTTATC